CATGTACCCTCGCCGGCGATCGAGGCCCGACCTAGCGAGCTTGAAGTTCAGAATTCTGTCCACAGCCCTGAACCCTTATCTTTAATGTCCGAAGTGATGAATGAACGTCATCTCGACAGTATGCAGCTACCCAATCCCGCCTTTGTCTTTTTTTTAGCACCATGACTGGACCTCCGGGTCGCCACATGGACATTTCTTTTTTCTGACAAAAAAACACCGCCAGGAACCGTCCCGCCCAAAAATGAATTTATCCCGCCCCATGTACATAGTACACAGCCTGTGCGTTATCTCCCTCACAACGTACTTGTCTGATTTGATTTACCACGCAGGAAAGTGAGCCCAAATTGGGGTTCTGCCCGATTTAGCCTGGCAACAAATTACGATCGCTATAGCGTCAGAGTCCACAGCAAAGCCTAGCCCTCCGGCCATTTTTTAATATCCTGCGTCCAGCTGACGCGGATCCACAGTTAATATCGCCAATCTAGCTGATGGGATTTGGGCGGGATCCTCGCGTAATGCGCCTGACGCGGGTGGAGTCGCGGCGATCTGACAGGCTGGGTAATCCTGTGAGCCGTATAGCCGAGGCCTTCGGCACACAAAAATAAATAACCGAACAAAGAATGGGAAGTCGCCATCGACGTTCGCCAGGCACGTTGGCGCGCGCTACCGACTCGGACTTGGCGCGTCGTGCGTCTATGTACTTAGGGACTGCCATAAGATGGACTAAGGGCAGGCACCGTACCTATCCGTCAGTGTTGGAACGCGAATTTCTCTGCCGAGTGCATTGGGTATGTCACACCTCCCGTCCGGGATTCCTCTAAATCGGAATCCTGCGCGATGGCGATCATCGTGGGTGGCAGCCGGAACAGCAGCCGTGGGAGGCGACGCCGGACGGGGGTGGGAAAAAAAAACTGAATCTGCATCTACAGCTGGATCAGAGAAAGAAGCGCACCGACCACCTATCAAACCGGCGCCCCGGAACGTGGCCTCGGATTATATTCTGGGATAGAGGGGACGACCGACGGCGGAATGGGCATGGTTGGATATTATTATGCCTGTCCCTGTGAATCCGCCACCGTAGAGCGGTAGCTGATCGTGTCCGTCCGTTGGATGCAAGATGCCAGATTCCGATTGCGCGTTAGCATCGCCCGAAGGTTCAAGTTATCTGCCCATCGAGCCTGCGCCGATCCCACCCACTTTGATTTGATCGTGTCAGAGTCGAGATCCCGAAGCAAACAGTGATTATCTCGCGTGGCCGGGGCGTCCGGACAGCCTGTTGAAGTGGATCCAAACCATACGAAAAATTGGTATGCTTGACTTGACTTGACTTCGATGTTGAAGCGGGTCGGAACCAGCAATAGCATGTTGAAGTGGCTCCGCAAACTGAAGGGTTCCTGTGACGATACATCGCAGCGAAGGGTTCGAAAACTTATCGAGCAGTGCGGGTGACGCGAGACTCTCGAATGGCTGTGCACCCGGACCAGCTGTCGAAGTGGAGCGCAAACTGGAGCCGAATTATCGTCATGTTTCGGATGATCGGGGATCAGCATCGATGCGTTTGCAGAAAAAAAAACAAGCGTCCGGCAATTCCCCGAGGAGTGAAATTCGACGCTGCTACAATGGTTCTGCGGGAATTCAATTGCAAGGCTAACGGATGTCCGGGACGCCTATTTCAATCAGGGCTAAATCCCACAGGAAATAAAATAATTATCGTGAGTCTTATCCAGGCCGCGAGCTCGCGCGCTCCGGAGCCAGCCGAACAGCTGGGACAAAAGAAGTGGCGTATATCGCGGTCACAAGAAGTTACCGTGCAGCCTGTTGAAGTGGGTCTCTTACTATACGTCGTGTGTTTGCGTTCGGAGGCTGTTGAAGTAGACGCAGATTGCGCGGTTGTGACGCGCTGAAGTGGACTCTATGAAACGGAGACGTGCGCTCAGGATAGGTCAAGTCTGTTGAAGTGGACTCAATGGTCGGAAGAACAAGGGACCGAAGGCACCCACGGTGCTTGCCTTTACTGTGGTCACCTCCGCACGGTTCGCTCTGATTGCGCATGGCTAAACGGTCTCGAATTGCAACATTCTGCTCGGTATTTTTTCAGAGTCTGCGTCTGCAGTGTTCGTTCCTGGTGATACTTCCCGCTGAACCCTTTGGAAATAAAAGAATCAGGGCACGCTGCAGTGCTATCCCGCACCTGCAAGCCGGCGCCAACCGATCATCTCTGTCCTATCCTGTGCACTCCGTCCCCGCCCCAGGTGTAGCCTAGCGGGTAGCCCATCCGTTCGCGATCCGCGCAGTGCATTCTAGGGCCCCATTGACTTGAACTGCACGATAAGCGCAGACGGAATTCTGCAGCAGTCACCGCGTAGCTTTCCCCAAAGTCAGCGTGTGTCTCAAGAGCGTATCCGCGGCGCGTAGGGGAGTTTAGATCGGGCCCGTTGAGGAAGAGCCCGCATCACATCCTGATCCAGAGAGCGAAACCCACCGGTGTCGGCCTTCCATCTTTCCATCTTTCCATCTTTCCCAGAATTCTTCACGGGGATGGTGAGCGCAGCTAGTCCAGAAGCCCGACCCTCTCTAGAAGCTGGCTCCCATGTGTGACAGCGCGAACAACGAGCGAGCAAAGACCAAAGGAAAGCGAGCACGCCTTGTATACGAGCCTTATACTAGCCTGGCCATTGGCAGATAACGCTGCCAGCCGACAGGAACCAGGGACGCGAACTATGATTTCGCCTACTTTTGAGATTCGGGAGTGCGTGGTTGTGGAGTGGGAACCGAGAAGCGAGACTGATCGGGCCGAATTTAATTGACCTTCGCTCGCGTCGCGTAGTGGTTGCCGGCGCTTATTGATTTTAGTGAAGACCGCGATCCGTTCTAACGCGATGCTTAGCACATCCGAATGCTTCTCGGAACGCGATGAATGCAATACACGGGCAGAGAATTTCGCATCGAACGGCGGAAATTGCGCCAACCAATGATTGTCCTGCGAAAAAGGGCAAGGAATCCTACATTGTTAGCGGCGGCCAACGTTCGTCGCTCACGGTCGCTTGACGGCGCGCATTATGGAAGACCAATAGAAGATGTAGACTGACCCCTCCGCCATCGGTAAGGTGTTAGACCAATATGCTGAAAGGGTGGGAGATTTGCGGTGATAGCAGCGAGCCAGTGAGAGAGTCGCGTCGTGAGGGCGGGATATGAACCAATGCACGACTAAAGGAATATATGTAGATGCTGATCAGCGCGGAGATATCAGAAAGTTGGAGCGCACAGCAAGCCAGCGAGAAGCCCGCTTTCCGCAGTCCCCCCTCTCCATCCTCGCGCGCGCGAAGGAAAGTGAACCAGATTACAGAAGAGTTTATGGGAGACGGAAAATGCTCGCTGGGAGCTTGCACGTTGGTTATCAAATTGAAACCAGGATGTGTTGGCGGCGTAACAGGACAACTCTCTGCAGGAGGAGAGAAGAATCGTGGACCGCGGGATACAGTGTAGTAGTTCCGCCGGGGATGCAGTGTCAATTTGAGACGGAGGAAAGGCATGGCGCCCACCACTGGGGGGAGGGAGAAGTCGGCTATTGGGCAAGTGGCATGTGCTTGAGTTCCCTTCGATCATCGAGCGCCCGAGTAGTCAAGCCTGCCGAAAGTTATTAATGGGCGTTGAATGGGCGAGAAGAATCGCCGACCTCCCTGCTGAGTATCCGAGAGAAAAATGGATGAAGAGTTCTTTGGGTTGGGTCAGGATCGGCAGCGTGGGGATCAGTCTAGTATTTCTTGCAATAGGTTTCGTTCCATCGCGAGGAACAGACTTCGCACTCCGAGATCGATCTTCCTCTGTATCTTGCTTGTATCTTGCCACGCCACGATGCCGCCGCTGGAATTAAAGGTCCAATGTTGCGGGTGATCCACGAGACGCGACCGGTAGTGGCTTGGAGGGAGGTTCAGGTTCTATTCGGCGGACTGTTTCCCATTTCCATTACAACACACCTGCTCTCCTGGTATGGGTACTACTCAGTTGCAGGAGGTCCCGGTTCAAATCCGGGTTAGGTCATAATATGTTCCCGTGTATGCTTTTTATTCCCCGGGTCAACCAACACAAAACATCCAGCGTGAAGAGGGTGAAAAGAGGGGAGGAAGGACCTAGTGATGTAAGGCTGCACACCTGCCCTCCTTAAATGGGTCCAAGTGAAATTGGGAATGCAGAAGATCCCGGTTCGATTCCGCGTTAGGTCATGGTCTTGTGGACTTCAGCTTTTTATTCCGCATTCCAATCCAATAAGGAAAATGCGTAGGATGAATTAAGGAAAGAGCGGAGGGGAGGAAGACCTAGTGGTGTCATACTGCACACCTGATCTCCATTCTCCACATAGAAATTCGCTCAGGCAGGAGGTCCCGGTTCGATTCCGGGTAGGTCATCATCATTTCGACTCGCTCTTTTTTTATCCCTCATTTAACCAATAAATAATATGGAGGTAAATTGAGGACAGAGGAGAGGGGAAGAAGAACCTAGTGGTGTAATGCTCTCTCCATTCAAAGTATCTGTGCAACGAGGCAGGAGGTCCCGGCTCGACTCCGGGTTAGGTCATTGATCAGATGGACTTCATCTTTTTAGTCCGCATTGCAATCCAATAAGGGACATGTGTAGGATAAGTTGAGGACTAAGAGAGAGGGGAGGAAGACTTAATGGTGTAATGCTGCGCACCTGCCCTTCTTTGTGAATTAGAGTGTGAGGCAGGAGATCCGGGTTCGAATCTGGGTTAGGTCGTGCAGGCATAGCCCTTCTTTTTGCTTTCTCGTTCAACCAGTGAAGATACATAGGCTAAATAGAGGCAGAAATAGGTAGGAGGAAGACCTAGTAGTGTAATGGTGCACACCTGCAATCCTTTAAATGTTCGGCCTAAAGGGGAGGTCCCGGTTCGACTGGGTCATTGGTGCTCCTTGCGGAATTTTTATCCCGTTCAACCAACAAGAAATATCTGGGTTAAGAGGGAGTAGGGAGGAGGAAGAAAAGACCTAATAGTGTAGTGCTGCACACCTGCTCTCCTTTAGAGATGAGTGCACTCGTGAAGTAAGTGGTCCCGGTTCGAGTCCGGGTTAGGTCATGCACGCTTCATGGATTTTTTGAATCGTTTCCTCTGGTTGAGTCGAGTCGAAAAGTCTATGGGGGTATATACAGGTCGAAATAGGTGGTAAGAAGACCTAGTGGTGAAAGGCTCACACCTGCTCTTCTTAGTTGGAGAAGTGCAATCACGAAGCAGGACGTCCTGGTTCGAATCCGGGCAGGTCATTATCATTTCGGCACCCTCGTTTTTTATCCCTCGTTCAACCAACACAACTTTTAGGATAAATAGAGGTAGAAATAGGTAGTAAGAAGACCTAATGGTGTAAGGCTGCACATCCGCTCTCTTTGGAAGACGCAGCATCAGAATGACGCAGGAGGTTTCGGTTCGAGTCCGGGTTAGGTCATTGGTGCTCCTTGCGGAATTTTTTATCCTTCGTTCAACCAACACAATGTGTAGGATAGATTGAGGGAGAGGGGATGGAAGGAAGAACCTAATGGTGTAATGCTACACACCTGCTCTTATTAGTTGGAGAAGTCATGAAGCAGGAGGTCTCGGTTCGTATCCGGGTTAGGTCATTGCCTTCCTCAGTTTGTTTTTATCCCTCATTCAACCAACACGATTTGTAGGATAAATTGAGGAAGACAGAGGGTGAAGAAGACCTCGTGGTGTAAGCCTTATAACTCAGGAAGTATTAGGGTGAGGCACGAGGTCCGGTTCGAGTCTGGGCTAGGTCATTGATCATCGATCATCCTTCCCTTCTTTTTATCCGTTGTTCGGATACAGACCAGAAATTGCATGGGGTAAATACAGGTCTAAATAGGTGGAAGGAAGACCTAGTCGTGTAATCCTGCGCACCCGCTCTCCTTATCAAGTATTGCATGCGATGCGGGAGATCCCGGTTCGAATCCGGGTTGGGTCATTGATCCTCTTGTTGCACCATTTTTTTCTTCTATTCCCTCGTTCCATCTGCAACAGATGTACAGAGGAAATTAAGGAAAGAGCAGATGGGAGGAAGACCTAGTGGTGCAACGTTGCACAGCCGCCCTCTTTTCGGGGACCTGCATGAGAATAAAGCAGGAGGTCCTGGTTCGAATCCGGGTTAGGTCATCCACGCCATACCGGGGTGCTTTTTTATTTTTATTTTATTTTATCACCATTACCATTACCGTTATGCACATTCGTTCTCCTCATCGTCCTCGCGAGCTTACAGTAATTACGCACGTAATCGAGTCCTATTTGATTTCTTCCATTGTATGGAGCCCTCGATCGACATGCTGCACGCACCAGACTGCAGCGATGAGCGCATTTCTGCGGCTCCGCATCGCGGTGGAGCGCTCTGGCGTTGAGAACGCCCGGTCCCGCCCACCCTTTATTTTACCATTCATTCATTAATTCACTCGCCTCCATGCATCCCGATTCCCCAGCGAGCCCTTATTCGCTCCTCCGAGTCCGAGTCCGAAACACCCCGTTGCTGTCGACGTCATTTTCTTTCTATTCGGGTGGCTGCCCCCTGTGTTCCAGTGTTCCCAACTCGCCGGTGGTTAGAATTTTCAATTTCCTCGACATGTTGCATGCATCCGACTCCGGCGATTTGCGCCTGGAGCGCTCTGGCGTTCAGCACGCGCGCGGCCCGGATCGGATCACATGCCAGTTGGAGTTTCCTGCATTATTCGGTCGCGTTGTGCGGATGATCCTCCTCCGACTGCGAAACACCACGCTGCTGTGTTCTTTCTATTCGGGTGGCTGCACGTCGCGTGTTCCGGTGTTCCCACCTCGCTAGTGGTCGAAATTCTCCCTGCTTTTTATTTTATTTTATTATTATTGCCGGTACCGTTATGCACATTCGTGTTCGTGTTCGGCCTCGGCCTCACGAGCTTCATTACGCGTGTGGGTGTTTCACTATTCTACTATGTAGTGAGTGGACCTTAGATGCCGTCTGCGTTAGCACTCCAGCTGGTGGACGATCTAGATCTATTAGGGTGGTTTATCTGGTGCTCACCGCGCGCATTTTTTGTGCTGTGGAGCGCTTTGGCGTTGAGAACTCCCAGGGTCAATTCGATGTTCACCATTCACTGGCATCACTGCATCCCCCCGCGAGCCCCGTTTTACTGCTCTCCGAGCCCGAAACACCACACTGGCGTCATTTTCTTTCTATTCGGGTGCTAGCACCTCGCGTATTCCGGTATTCCCACCTCGCCGGTGGTTGGAATTTCGTCGCTCGTGTTCACTAGTCCTATTCGGTCCAGGGCCCGCGCCGTCAGCGTGCGTTACTCAGCGGTGTTCACCACTCGCCGGTGCTCTGCTGTACCTTACTTCCATCCGCAACGTTTCTTGTTCACTAGTCCTGTTCGGGCCGTGATGTCAGCGTGCGTTACCCAGCGCGATAACGCCTCAGTTACCACACTTTACCACACCGTTTCTTAAAATAATAACGAAGAGAAACGCCCGGCCTGCCCGCGGCATTTTGGCGGCAGCCGCATTAACGGCGCCTAACGGTATTATCCAGATTCCACACGCGAAGGAAGGCGGGCTAGCCCGATGGGGACAGACGGGGTTATGGTGATGTGTCCGCGCGCCGAGACGAAACGGCCGCAAAATTGGTGAAAAGTTGATTTACCCACCCCGAAAGAAATCCGAGGATATGGTTCGCTGCGGATTCGCAGTTCGAATCGAATGCGCCATGTCCCGGGTGAATCGAAGAGGAATCGGGGGCGGAGCAGCTGTTCTAGCCAAAAGTCCCCAAAACAGAAAAAAACCACTCACGCCCTAAGTTTTGCAAAGAGCTGTAAAAGGGTCTGCGGGAGGTCCTGGTTTGAGTCCGGGGTATGTCATTTCGGCTCGCTCTTTTTTTATGCCTAGTTCCAGTTCAATAATTAATGTACAGGATAAATTGAGGGTGTAAGGAGGAGGAGAAAGACCTGGTGGTGCAATGCGGCACACTTGCTCTCGTTAAACATCATGATCGTCTGGAATGCGGGAAGTCCTGGTTCGAATCCGGGTTAGGTCATATGGCTCCTTCAGTACTCTTTTTTTCCGGCTCTTCAACCAGAAAAAATGCGTAGGATGAGGAGGGGGAAGTGGAGAGAAGTAAGACCTAGTGGTATAATGCTGCACACCTGCTCCTTATTCCACGCTGAGCTGTGTTAAAGCAGGAGACCCCTGGGTTAGGTCATGCTGCCAGTGGCTACGGTGGAAACTTTTTATTATTCGTTCAACCAGCAAAAATACTGGGGATGTATAGGATGAAGAGGGAGTAAGTAGGAGTGGAAGGACCTAGTGGTGTAAGGCTGCACACCTGACCCCATTAAAACGGTTCTGAATCTGAAGCAGGATGTCCTGTTTTGAGTCCGGGTTGGGTCATGCATTTCCTCCGCTTGAATCTTTGTATGCCTCGTTTGACCAGCGAAAATATGTAGGATAGATTGAGGGTGTAAGGAAGGGGAAGTAAGACCCAATGGTGTAATATTGCACACCCGCTCTCCTTGACCAGATCCTGCTTGGAATGCGGGAAGTCGCGGTTCGACTCCGGGTTAGGTCATGGTCGGCTGTGCTGCCATTTTTTTAAATGCAGGTCGAAATAGGTGGTAAGAAGACCTAGTGGTGAAAGGCCACACCTGCTCTTAGTTGGAAAAGCCACGAAGCAGGAGGTCTCGGTTCGAATCCGGGTTAGGTTATGGTCATGTCGTCTGGTCCACTTTTTTATCCTTTGTTCAACCAGTGAAAGTGTGTAGGATAAATACAGGTAAGGAAGAAGGGGGAGGTAGGACCTAATAGTGAAAGGCTGCACACCTGCTCATATTCCACACTGAGTTGTGTTAAAGCAGGAGGTCTCGGTTCGAATCCGGGTTAGGTCATCATCCACCGTGCTTGCATCTTTTTATGCTTTGTCCAACCAACACAATGTGTAGGACAAACAGAGGTCGAAATAGGTGGTAGGAAGACCTAATGGTGTAAGGCTGCACACCTGCTCCTTATAGCTCAGGAAGTATCAGGGTAAGGCACGAGGTCCCGGTTCGATTCCGGGTTAGGCCATAGTTATCCAGGAATGATTTTTACTTCTTCGTTCAACCAACGCAATGTGTAGGATAAATTGAGGACTCAGAGAGAGGGAGGAAGGACCTAGTAGTGTAAGGCCGCACACCCGCTCTCCTTTATCAGGTACTAGATGCGATGCGGGAGGTCCCGGTTCGACCCCGGGCTAGGTCATGGACCAGGTCTACTTCATCTTTTTTATGCCTCTTTCATCCACTCAAAAATGCATAGACTAAATACAGGTCGAAATAGGTGGTAGGAAGATCTAGTGGTGTAATTCTGCACACCTGCTCCCCTTAAGACGTGACATCAATTTGGAATGCGAGAGGTCTCGGTTCGAATCTAGGTTAGTTCATACTCTTCGTCCGTCGTTTTTATTCCGCATTCCAATCCAATGAGGAATTAGGCAGGGTAAAGTGAAGGAAGAGGAGAGGGGAGGAAGGACCTAATGGTGTAATTCTGCACACCTGCTCTCCATTCTCTGAATAGAAATTTGCTCAGGCAGGAAGTCCCGGTTCGAATCCGGGTTAGCTCATTGCCTTCCTCAGTTTGTTTTTATCCCTTGTTCAACCAACACCACTTGTAGGATAAATTAAAGAAGACAGAGATGAGGAAGGACCTAATGGTGTAAGGCTGCACACCCGCTCTCCTTAACACGCATCCCACGTGGGATGCGGGAGGTCCCGGTTCGAATCCGGGGTAGGTCATGCGGCAATTGTGACCTTCTCTTTTGTTTCTGATGTAATCAAATGCACTGGGTAAATACCGGTTTAAATAGGTAGTAAGAAGACCTCGTGGTGTAATACTGCAGACCCGCTCTCCTTAAATATAAACGACGTAAAAGCAGGAAGTCCCGGTTCAACCCCGGGTTGGGTCATTGGTGTTCCTTGCGGAACTTTTTTATCCCTCGTTCAACCAACACAATTTTTAGGGTAAATTGAGGAAGACCGAAGAAGAGGAAGACCTCGTGGTGTAAGCCTTATAGCTCAGGAAGTATTAGGGTAAGGCACGAGGTCCGGTTCGAGTCTGGGCTAGGTCATTGATCATTGATCATCCTTCCCTTCTTTTTGTCCTTTGTTCGGATACAGACCAGAAATTGCATGGGGTAAATACAGGTCGAAATAGGTAGTAAGAAGACCTAATGGTGTAATGCTGCACACCTACCCTCATTTACGGACTCGATCGATGCGAATGAAGCAGGAGGTCCCGGTTCGACCCCGGGCTAGGTCATGGTTTTCCTCAGTTTGCGGAATTTTTTATCCCTTGTTCATCCAATAAAACTGTGCAGGATGAGGAGGGAGTAAAGAGAGAGAAATAAGACCTAGTAGTGTAAGGCTGCACACCTGCTCTCCTTAGCGGCAAGTGTTTAGACTTTGGAATGCAGGAGGTCCCGGTTCGATTCCGGGCTAGGTCATGCCATCTTATCGAGGACTTTTTATTTATTTTATCCCTCATTCATTCTCATCCCCTCTGACAAATCCATAGTATGAAGGTAGAAGGAGAGGTGGGAAGACCTCGTGGTGTAACAAATCACACCTGCTTTCCATACAATGTCCAGCAAAATATGAAGCAGGAGGTCCCGGTTCGAATCCGGGTTAGATCATGCCATCTTATTGACGATTTTTTCACTCCCTCGTTCAACCACAAAAAAATGTGTAGGATAAATTGAGGACTCAGAGAGAGGGAGGAAGGACCTAATGGTGTAATACTGCGCACCTGCACTCCTTTGAATGTTTGACCCGAAGGCTTGAGGCAGGAGATCCCGGTTCGAGTCCGGGGTAGGTCATTGTCATTTCGGCACCCTCTTTTTTTTAATTCCTTCAGTCCAATCCAATAAGGAAAATGTGTAGGATAACTTGAGGACTAAGAGAGAGGGAGTGTGGACCTAGTGGTGTAATGATGCACACCTGCTGCTGTTGGTTGGAAAGCATCCTCAAGCAGGAGGTCCCGGTTCGAATCCAGGTTAGGTTATATTTATCATCCTTTGTTTTGTTTCTGATACAATTGGAAATGCACGGGATAATTGGAGGACGAAGAGAGAGGGAAAGAAGACCTAGGGGTGTAAGGCTGCACACTTGCTCCTTATAACTGAGAAATTATTAGGGTAAGGCACGAGGTCCCGGTTCGAATCCGGGTTAGGTCATGGCCTTCTCACGTCCTCTTTTTTATGCCTCTTTCAATCCACTCGAAAATGTGTAGGGTAAATTGAGGGAAGAGGAGAGAAAAATAAGACCTAATGGTGTAATTCTGCACACCTGCTCTCCATTCTCCGAACACAAATTTGCTCAGGCAGGAAGTCCCGGTTCGAATCCGGGTTGGGTCATGGGTCTCGTGGCTTGGATCTTTTTATGCCTCGTTCGATCAGCACAATTTGTAGGATAAATTGAGGAAAGAGGAGGGGAAAGGAAGGACCTAATGGTGTAAGGTTGCACACCCACTCTCTTTGCGATGACGAAACCAAGGTAATGAAGTGGGAGGTCCCGGTTCGAATCCGGGTTAGGTCATTCAGCATCTGCATCTGGACTTCATCTTTTATTCCGCATTCCAATCCCATAAGGAAATGTGTAGGATAAATTGAGGGAAGAGGACAGGGGAGGAAGACCTAATAGTGAAATGAATCACACCCGCTCTCTTTGGAAGACTGGCATGCGAATGAAGCAGGAGGTACCGGTTTGAATCCGGGTTAGGTCATTGCAGTTTGGACTTCGTCTTTTTTACCTTTCATTCTAATCCAATAAGGAAAATGTGTGGGATAAGTTGAGGACTAAGTGAGAGGGAAGGAAGACCTAATGGTGTAACGCTGCACACCCGCTATCTTTGGAAGACCCGCATGAGGACGAAGCAGCAGGTCCCGGTTCGAATGTGGGTTAGAACATGCACGCTTCATCGATTTTTTGAATCGTTTCCTCTGTTGAGTCGAGTCGAAAAGTCTATGGGGTAAATGCAGGTCGAAATAGGTGGTAAGAAGACCTAGTGATGTAACGCTGCACACCTGCTTTCCATGCTACGTCCATCGCAATCATGAAGCAGGAAGTCCTGGTTCGACCCCGGGTTAGGTCATCATCCATTCCCACCCCTTTTTTTTTATTCCTTCGTTCAACCAGCAGGAAGTATGTAGGGTAAATACCAGCTTAAATAGGTAGTAAGAAGACCTAGTGGTGTAATCCTGCACACCTGTCTTCTATACAGAGGCAAGCGGATGTAACAGCAGGAGGTCTCGGTTCGAATCCGGTTTAGGTCATTCAGCATCTGCATCTGGACTTCATCTTTTTATTCCTTCGTTCCATTTCAAATGGATAGGATAAATCAAGGGTGTAAGGAAGGGGAAGGATGGACCTAGTGGTGTAATGCAACACCCCTGCTTCTCATAACGTGTCACAAGGCGTCTCGAACTTAAAGCAGGAGCTCCCGGTTCGAATCCGGGTTAGGTCATGCCAGACTGGGTATAGATTGATTTTTAATCAGAATTTTCATTTTTATTCTTATGCACATTCCTCGTCGTCCTCGTCCTCGTCTTCGTCCTCGCGAGATTAATCACGCACCCTGGCTGGGGTTCATTCTACGGAGCCTGGCTTAAGCATCGATCGACATCCCGCACGCACCAGACTCCAGCGACGAGCACATTTTTGCGTGGGGCGAGTGGGGCGCGAGCTGGATGCCGAGTAGATGCTAGAGAGAGTGAAGAAGCGGGCGATGAGCGCATTTTTTGCGTTTCCCGATCGCTATGGAGCGCTCTGGCGTCGAGAACGCCCAGGGTCAATTGCAATTTGATTTTCGCCATCTACTGGCGTCATTGCCCAGCGAGCCCTTATTCGCTCGCCGCATTCTTGCGGCTCCGGGTCGCTATGGAGTCTGGCGTTCAGAACGCCCAGGGTCAATTGCAATTTGATTTTCACCATTTCTTGGCGTCACTGCATCCCAGCGAACCCTTATTCGCTCCTGCGAGTCCGAGCCCGAAACACCCCGCTGCTGTCGACGTCATTTTCTTTTTATTCGGGTGGCTGCACCTCGCGTGTCCCGACTCGCCGGTGGTTAGAATTTTCAATTTCCTCGCTCTCATTGCATCCCTTATTCGCTCCTGCGAGTCCGAGTCCGAGCTCCTCCGACTCCGAGCCCGAAACACCCCGCTGCTGTCGACGTCATTTTCTTTTTATTCGGGTGGCTGCACCTCGCGTGTTCCGACTTGCCGGTGGTCAGAATTTTCAATTTCCTCGCTCGCGCCTGATAACCTGCATGCATCAGATTCAGACTCCAGCGATGAGCGCATCTCTGCGCCTTCGCCCTGCTGTGGATTCAGAACGCGCGCGGCCCGGATCGGATCGCAGGTCAGTTGCATTACTCGGTCGCGTTGTGCGTCCTCCTCCGAGTCCGAAACACCACGCTGCAGCTTTTTATTCGGGTTGTGCTTGCCTGCGTTCCGCTGTTCCCGACTCGCCGGTGGTCGAAAATCTCCCTGCTTTTTGTTTTATTTTATTATTATTACCGGTAGCGTTATGCGCATTCGTGTCCGAGCTCGGTGGCGAGCTTAATGACGCACCCGGGCTGTCGGGCTGGGGCGTTTCAACATTTCAGTATGTAGTGAGTGGACCTTGGAAGTCGCCTCCAGCGCGATGGACGATCTAGATCTATCTGGGTGGTTCAAACTCACTCAGACAAAATCCCACCGCGCGTGGAGGGCTCCGGCGTTGCGAACCCCCGGTCATTTTACCATTCATTCACTCGCCTCCCTGCATCCGAGCTCCTCCGACTCCGAGTCCGAGACCGAAACACCCACCACTATCATCTTCTTTTTATTCGTATTCGGGCGCCAGCACCTCGCGTGTTCCCGACTCGTCGGTGGTCAGAATTTTCAATTTTTTTCGCTCGCACCCGCGCCCGCTTAAGCATCGACGTGCTGCACGCATCAGATTCAGACTCCAGCGATGAGCGCATTTGTGCGCCTTCGCCCTCTGGCGTTGAGAACGCGCGCGGCCCGGATCGGATCGCAGGTCAGTTGGAATTTCCTGCATTACAGTACTCGGTCGCGTTGTGCATCCTCCTCCGACTGCGAAACACCACGCTGCTGTCGACGCCATTTTCTTTCTATTCGTATTCTCGCCTCTGTGTTCCGCTCGCCGGTGGTCGAAAATCTCCCAGCTTTTTATTTTTATTTTATTTTATCGCCGTTACCGGTACCGTTATGCGCATTCGTGTTCGTACTTCGTCCTCGTCCTCGGCCTGGCGAGCTTAATGACGCACCCGGGCCGGGCGGGTGTTCAACATTTTATTATGCGTGTAGTGAGTAGACGTCGCCCGCCAGCGCGCCGGAAGATCTATCTGGGTGGTTCAAACTTCATCCATTCTAAACCCGACCGCGGCTCCGGCGTTGCGAACCCTCGCCCATTTTACCATTCATTCGTTCACTCGCCTCCCTGCATCCCGATTCCCTTATTCGCTCCTGCGAGTCCGACCCCACCACTATCATCTTCTTTTTATTCGTATTCGGGTGCACATCTCCCGACGCGCCTCGCAATGAGCCCAGTTGTATTCGGGTCGCCTCGTTCCGACTTCCGAGGCTGCGTTCCGGTGTTCCCAACTCGCCCGTGGTCCAAAATCTCCCTGCTTTTTGTTTTATTTTATTTTATTTTATCACCGGTACCGTTATGCACATTCGTGTCCGTCCTCGGCAGTGAGCTTAATGACGCACCCTAGCTGGGGTCTCTTAATTTCTTCCACTCTACGGAGCCCTCGATCGACATCCTGCATGCACCAGCCTCCAGCGATGAGCGCATTTCTGCGCGGTGGAGCGCGCTGGCGTCGAGAACGCCCAGGGTCGATTGCAATTCGATCTTCACCGTTTATTGGCGTCATTGCATCCTAGTTCTATTCGCTCCCCCGAGTCCTAACCACCCCGCTGCTGTCGACGTCATTTTCTTCTTACTCGGATGGCTGCCCCCTGTGTTCCGGTGGTCAAAATTTTCACTTCCCTCGCTCGCGTCGCTTAAGCATCGACGTGCTGCATACATCAGATTCAGACTCCAGCGATTTGCGCCTTTTTGCGCCTGGAGCCCTCTGGCGATGCCATTTATTTATTCCCTCCCATCGCGGTCCAGGTGCATCCACCATTTTGATTTTCGAGTTTTGATTTTATCCGGGCGCCCGCCCCTGCGTCAACGTTCCGGTACTCGCATCGCGCCGGTGGTTAGAGTTTCGTCGCGCGTGCCTATCGACATGCTGCATGCACCAGCCTCCAGCGATGAGCGCCTGGCGTTGAGAACGCACGCGGCCCGGATCGGATCGTCAGTTGGAGTTTCCTGCATTATTCGCTCGCGTTGTGCATCCTCCTCCGAGTCCGAGTCCGAAACACCCCGCTGCTGCCGACGTCATTTTTGTTTTATTCGGGTCGTAGCACCTCGCGTGTTCCGACTCGCCGGTGGTCAGAATTTTCAATTTCCTCGCTCGAGCGCGCGCCCGCTTAAGCATCGATGTGCTGCATGCACCAGATTCAGACTCCAGCGATGAGCGCATTCTTGCGCCCTCGCCCCGCTCTGGAGCGCTCTGGCGATGCCATTTATTTATTCGCTCCCATCGCGGTCCAGGTGCTGATTTTGATTTTTGATTTTATTTGGGCGCCTTAACGTTCCGGTGCTCACATCGCGCCGGTGGTTAGAATTTCGTCGCTCGCGCCTATCGACATGCTGCATGCACCAGATCTGCGCCTGGGGCGCTCTGGCGTTGGCATTTATTCATTCGCTCCCATTTAGGTGCATCCACCATTTTGATTTTTGATTTTCTTTCTATTCGGGTGATAGTACCTCGCGTATTCCGGTGTTCCCACCTCGCCGGCGCTTAGAACTTCGTCGCTCGTGTTGACTAGTCCTATTCGGTCCAGGGCGCGCGCCGTCAGCGTGCGTTACTCAGCGGTGTTCCCAACTCGCCTGTACCTCACTTCATCCGCAACGTTTCTTGTTGACTATTCCTGTTCGGGCCGTGATGTCAGCGTGCGTTACCCAGCGCGATATCGATAACGCCTCAGTTACACCATTTCTTAAAATAATAGGGAAGAGACCCGCGGCATTTTGGCGGCGGCCGCATTAACGGCGCCTAACGGTATTATGCACACGCGACGGGAGGCGGGCTAGCCCGATGGGGACGGACGGGGTTATGGTTATGCGCCCGCGCCGAGCGAGAGATAAAGAAAGCAGAAGCGGTGCGGAATCCCAGGATTTGATGTGACCCAAAGCGGACTCTCGATCTGGCATCTCGATCGACCTGCTATTCGGTTTACATCTGGAATACAAGGCGAGACGCACTGGACAGAAGACAGGCTTCTTGGTCCCCTTGATAGGGCGGTATGTAATGCTGTGACAGGACAGACGGGCAGACAGCGATGGGGGAAGCCAGGGCGGGTCTTATACAGGGTGGCTTGCTATTTCTCTTGACTGGATTTCGACTTTGACGCGACTCCCACCAGAACCAGAGCTGAGCTGCAAAAGCAGAATGGCGTCCTCCTCCTCCTCCTCGCGCCCGGCCCCGCTGTCCTTTGCGGCGTTCCCGCCCAACGCCCCCTTTGCCAACGATGATGAGCCCCCGAGCCCGACGACCCTGTCCCGCGGCCCGAGCCCGCCCGTCACCCCGCGCAGCCTCTCGTTCCTCACCCCGCCCGTCACCTACCCCGCTACCCCCGCCAACAACGCCGCTTCCAACACCACCGCCGCCGTGAACCCGTTCTCGCCCCCCGCAAGCGTGCGCTCCTTCTCCGCGTCGGGCGCCAACGGCGGCGCCGACTCGCCGCAGATCCACTACGCCGGCAGCGGCGCCGGGGGCTACTTCTCCTCGCCCAACAGCACCCGCGCGTCCTCGCTCGTCGACGTCCCGCGCGCCGGCGACGCCCGCGGCTCCCTCTCGCGCCCCTCCACCGGCCAGCTCCAGGGCCAGGGCTCGCAGGCCGCCTCGAAGCGCGAGGCGTTCGCGTCCCCGCCCTCGCGCCCGATGACCATCTACGCGTCGCCGTCCACCGCGCGCCTGCGCCGCGGCCGCCCCAAGAGCACCGCGATCCTCGTGCCCTCGGCCCCGCTCTCGCCGGCGCAGATGAAGGAGGCGGATAAGGAGGCGAAGAAGGCGGGCGGGCGCGGCGTGCGCCCCACGCTCAAGGGCGTGCTCGACAAGCCGTGGGTGGGCACGCGCGACCCGCATCGGCGGCTCGCGTATTGGATTACCTATGCGACTATCTGCCTCGGTATGCCTCCTTCTCTTCCCCAAGAAAATATGAGCTGACTCCCTTTGTAGGCATCGCAGCGGGCGCGGCGCGCATCTACGTCGGCTGGACGTCCGTCCTCCTCCTCCAGGGCAACCTCTGCCCCGTGCTCATGGAGGACTTTACCGGCAAGACCACGGCGGACCTCTTTGGCGACAACGGCGTCTTTTTCAGGGAGGTCGACGCGAGTGGCTTT